CGAAGAAATCGTTCGTTTTTTTTTGAATAATGGTAGCCGTAAGGCGCTTCTAAACCTTCCTCCGAGTCAGAACAAGCGGCTATCTATTGCAAAGGTTTGGAAATGTGCTATACAGCTACTTTGAATTGCATGGAGGTCACGATCAACAAGCACCCATCTCAAGAGGGAACGAAGACTAGAGGTGCTCAGGTTGTAATCAAGTCTAAACACAATCCTTATCAGTTCCATCCATAGTGGTTGCAGATCAATATGTAGGAATGGATGAGCTCGTGCTGCGCAGTGGTTGGAGGCGCCTTGCAATACGTATGGGATCGATCCCCGCGCCCAGTCCCACAAAGCCTTTCATCCCTCCAGGGTTTGAAAATAAATAGTAGCCTTGTCTGGATGGGTAGTACCACTGAATTGACATCTGTTGGCCACCATGAGTCATTGTAAAGGCCATATATTCATTCTATCACCTCCAACGATCCTCTATGAAGTCGAATGCATGGAGCATCCCTCAGGGCTTGATCAACGCTGAGAGCTTCATCGTTTATTTATATAGGATTAGAAAAAATGTTGAGACCGACACTATATGTAAGGATGAGTTTTTTTAGTGCTTAAATAAGTGTTTTAAAGGCTTTTTAAAATTTTTAAAAGTTGTTTACTTCGAAGCGCCCTGTGAAGTTCAAAGTTTTCGTTGTCCAGTAATCCCTCGTGCCTACTCCATGCATTTGACTCCATTCATAGCATCATAGAAGTGATTAAATCCATATTCGCCAAATATGATCGTTTAGGACTTGCTGATGTATCAAGTCACTATCCTTCCAGAGAAGGTTGTTGCCAATTTGACCATCCCGTATCCGTTGCAGCTCGTTTAGCGAAAAGCGCGAGATTCAACCAGAAACAAAGGATGTAACGCAGGGTAGCTCTAGTTATTGCGTAAGGCACAACCAAAGTATCCTATATAGTGGGTTTTTACACAGAAAAAAATCTTTGCAGACTCAATGACCGTTGCAAGGGCACTATGAACGAGTTTAAATGAAATTAAAGGAAAGAAGACGACAAAGAACATGAGGTGGTAATGAAAAACCTCATTCTCTCCCGTACAAATCAATCGTTTGACGATGACGGTTGGTTTCTTGCTAATGTCGTCTGTATACTCATCTGCTTCTATCTCAAACACGTACCGTCGACTGTTGAGCCGATAGTGCATAACGATGAAGATGAGCATCATTTAGTTGAAACGCCGATCAGCTAGCCATCCGTACGTCAGTTATACAGACGATTGAAAACTTTAAGAGGTCAGTATATTGTTTCTTTATCACCTATAGTTCCTTCATTACTCATCGCTATTCGGTGATTCGATCATAGTCGACCCAGCTGATCAAATCGAGCTAGTTGATTTTCTTATCACGAGAAAGCCTACAGATCTTTCAATCGAGCTCAGTTGATACTCGTTTAAGATAGCCATGAAGTAGTAAATAAGTTATCCAACAATTCTACATTAGTTTTTCATAACATTATGCGATGCGTTTATGTTTGCTACCAAGTTTCTTAACCTTGAAGAATTTTTCGAAAAGTTCAAACCATTTCCAAAAACGGCCTGCACTACGTTTTTCTTCAGTCTTCAGGCTTATATATCATAATGCATGAGTTGTAAAGTAACTTCTGTGACTCAGCCTTGACAACTTTTGACCAATGCGAAATTCTACTATGTAGTGAGACCGCCCGGTTGGAGTTTTGATCTTTTATACACCGTAAGCATGTTTTTAATCATTTTATGAAGTTATGACTAGTTTGAAACGTGGAAGGGATCGACATTAATCCCTGGGTGCTGAAGTGGCTGACGAAAAGTTCTGGCGGTCACCTACTTGCCAGCAATAAAGGATAAAGGGTAAAGCTCTTGGCGTTGATCAATCCTTGAGGGATGCGCCATGCATTCGACTTCATTAAGTATCGTTTGGAGGTGATCGAATGCATATCTGGCCTTTACAATGATCAGCGGCGGCCTACCTATGTATCGAGCCAGTGCTGCTATCCTGCCAGACAAGTCTAGTACCACTTTGCCGACCCTGAAGAGTTGGAAGGCTTGGTGGGCCATGGGCGCGGGGATCGATTCCACGTTTGTGTCGCAGTGGGATCTCCAACCACTGGGCCAGCAAGAGTAATTCTAAAGCGTGGTATGAAAGTGGGTGATACCTTGTCTGCTCTTCTTTGTTCAAACGATGAACATAATGAGTGATTTTGTTGTTCATCGAGCCGAACTAGAACTTTACTGGTACCAACCAACATAATTTTATATTTGATGGTTTTTAAAACAAAAGTAATTATACAAACTCCTAGTACTTAGTGTTTCGTGTATTGGACACTCGCGAACTTGGGTCTATCCCAGCACTTCCTTGTTTCATTGATTTATTTTCGTGCTTCCAAATATTGCCCACGGAAGTGATCGGCTTCGTGGGTGTGGGTGGATTTAGCTGCTGCTTGAGAATTAGAAAGTTGACTGCAGCTGTGAGTACAGCTAACATCAGTGGGAGCCGAAACTCAACCAATTCATGCATCTTTTGTAAGTTCTCTATCGACATTGTCATTTTCATCTTTTTCACGTAGATTCTGATGTTCCCCTCGATTACCTGTCGTCTTCCGTCTTCACTACGTGATCAACTTTTAAACACATCGATAACATTAAGTATTTATTTAATAAGGAAATTTAGGCCATGCGCATCGTCAGGATGTGAGATGCAGTCTCGTCCGGCAGGGTCTGTCGTTTCATCGTCGTCGTCTCAAATGATCACCACTCAGTTTGAGAGTCGCTTCTAATTATAACGTTATTAATTATTAAAAGGCACGTTCTTTTATAACGCGGCTCTAAGGAAGATAGATGAGGTTGATGATGATGAGCTTAGATAAATAACGAGGTGTACGGTAGGCGATAGGAGATGATGACACTGCCGATGAATGCCAATGCCGATGTTGAGGAGGATGTGTTGTCGACGTTGGCAGAGTTCATTTACAGAAAACGAACCGAAAACCTTAATTACACAACATATTAGTAATAAAACATTAATTTAAGCTTTCTAGGCAGGTTCTTTATTAGATAGTTGCAGGGAAAAGTTCTTACTTTGTATATAAAAGTGTTCTTCCATTTTCCGGTGACCACCTTTTCTTGTTTACCTTCATTCCGTCACTCTCAGCAATCTTCTTCTCGAAGGTTTTTGCATTATTGTTAAATATGGCTTTTGTCTAAATATGTGAAATTACCCAATTCCCTCTCTTTTTGGGATTTTCGACACTCCGTTCGCTGGTCTTCGATCCCCTTCCTAACTTAAAAAAACAGAAGCAGTCTCTCCGAAAATTGAGAGAGAAGAACAATTTATTCCTTTAAATTAGGTTGTAACGATCCCCATCGTTTATCATATCAGTCCAGTTTTCATCATTTTCTCTGTTATTATGAGTTATTGGTGATTAGTAACGGACTTGACTGTTCGGTGATCGATTCATGATTACGACTTCAGTGTCTTTCTTCCTGATGACAATACATTGCTACTCCTACCATTTCCACTCGTTTCTACGAATTGAAACGCTTTCTTGGAAAATGTCCCAGGCATCCTAGTTTGATAACAAGTAAACCCGAGAAATCCCCAATACCTCTAAATTTCTGTATTTGAACAGACCGTTGCTCGTCTGGAAAGTGTTGATCGTCACTGGGATTTTCACCACTTCACCGATTGGCAATTTCCACAACAATACACCGATGCCCCTCTTCATTATGTGCTGTCGTCGTCGGCGTGCTTTTTAGCGCCGTGAGCCGGCGTAACGTTGTGCCTGCCGTGAATGAAGGGACGCCGACACGATACCGTAATTAGGATTGGCATGGTCGTACATATAAATCGTCCGACAGCTCTTTCAACAAGTGTCTGCTTTACATGATCCCTCATCAAGTGGCCATTGAACGTATTTGACATAGACGGTTCTCATCAAAGCTCATTTGTACTAACCGCATTATGACTTCTGATAAGATAAGGATTCTTAGGCCTACAGTGATTCTAGAAAGGATTCTGATTTTTCGCCGTTTTATGTGGCATCGTGTAAAAGGACGAAAGTATCTATAATTTTCAGTCATTTGCCTTTTCAACGTTTTATTTCGTACAAAACATCACGTGTGGCTGCTCTGTAGCGAATAGTTTCCTCATTGTGATCAGAAACTTTGTGTTATTTTAAAAATTGAGTATAATTTCAGTGAAAGAAGGACCTGTGACTTCGTCGAGATTTAGTGGGAAGCGATTCTATCGGGTCCGATTAAGATCCCTTCGGTTTAAAGAACGCTTTTCTCTCGCCATGCATTCCGTGTAGTGAAGACGATCCTCGGACAAAGCCACCGCTTAATTCGAAGTGAAGTGTACCTGAAATCAAATACTTATCGGTTACTTTGTTCAGCACACGGCGTTGTTTGAATATGCCCTTCCTATGTGCGAAGGCTCCAGGTGATTCTCCACTGAATGATTTCGGCTGTTTAGTTGTTTATATTTATCGACCTATTCACGTCTGTGGTGTGAAAATTTGCTTAGCTTGGTTACTTACCGTATCCTACTCCGGGGAGAAAACTGTAGAAGACTAAGCAACATAGTACGAATATAAAGCAAAGGCATTGTTTAGTCCTAATTTTTTAAGGAATTCTAGGAGCTTTCCGGTAACTATTAGTGAAATTTTTATGCCAAAATTCTTGGTTTCGGCGTAGATGTACATAGATTCTGATCATTCCTAACATCGCCATGGAAAAATTCAGGATTCGGAAATATTTTTAACCACTGAGGTTTTTTCAGTGATCAGTATATTCAGTATATTCAGTATTCAGTATTCAGTTTCAGTATATTCTAAATATAAACTACAGTGTTCAAAATCTCGCTCTTTCAGTGATTATTATGGGATGAAAAGATAACGAAATTATAAGAGCTGTAATCTAAGAGTTACTTCATGCAAACCTATTGACTACTTGTTAGACGTTTACTCATACCGAAATGACTTCGATATACGCAATTTATGAGACGTCAACCTTATCTGTTGTGATTGCGCGGGATTTGAGATTGTCTGAAGCGTTAACAAATCTTCGCCGATACCGTGTAATTAATGTGGTGTTCGTAGTCGTCGTCGTCGTCGTCGTCGTCGTCATCGTACTGGTTCGGGTTCTAAGTCAAGGTCGTACACAGCTTGCTTATTGTCGTCGTTGATACGATAATAGCAGCATGGTCTGTCATTTTGTGAATCCGCCAAAAACAATGTGTATATGAATGACGTTGGTGGATGCGCGGGCTTTTTGAACACAATTTGGCTTGGCGCCAAATTTTTCAGCTTGCTGGCCGTCGATGTGGTCGATGACCCTCTAGTGACAGTTACCACTGTGTTAGTTTTGTTTTGCTTCCAATGTTTTTGTTTCTGCGGTTTGTCACTTCATTCAAATTTTTTTCATCAGGAGATTCCACCAATTTGACCGATCTCTTTTTTCCCGATGGATAAGAAATCCAACTTTTTCTTTCTTACTGGAAGGTTTATAGTTCCTTATAGCAACTTTCTCTATGCTACCCTGTTACGTAGTTATTAACGATAAAATTTCGTCTTTCTGATGAACTGAGTGTCGATTTCGATGTTTGCTTCTAATTCACAGAATTTTCAGTTGTAACACCTTATTTTCTTATGTTTGAACTCCTAGGCAGTTAAAAAAAGCCAATAAACTTTTTTTTCAATGACTTAGGTATAATGTTTCTTAAACACTCTAATGCCGAACTATATTAATATTTAGTTAATAGATTCGGTAGCTGTCACATTTTAGTCTATTATTAGCCTTTGTGGTTAGAAGTGAGTTGCAATATACCAACAACAGTGGCTTGTTCAATCTCATACTTCTGGTCAGCCAAACGTGGTAACCCTACGGTCAACGAATTGGTTACAGGGTTGTGTGGGAATATAAAAACGCTAACTGCATCGACAGGTCCTCACAATACGTCCTGTATGTCAGATAAACAGCTCAATCTCTTCTATGATTCCATGGATGGAACCAAATGTATGGTGCATTTCAATTGGATTGGTTGATGCCGAACGTTTCTTTCTTTGTTCATTATTCTTCTACTATGCTATCAGTTTCTGATATTTTTATCACTTTTATTTTATTACGTAGTATTGCAGCATCTTAGCAGAATTGATCCTTATCTAATGTACTTGAATACTTGAAAGCTTGTTGGGTTCACTTGAGTCCGAACACATTTTCTACTTAAAGTCACGTTTCCGGTTTAGCAGAATTGTTTCACTGGAGACTTAACAAATCTGAGAGGGAGGGCCGTGTCAGGTTATTTTTTTCTTCATCACCACAATTCCATATGGTTCATGCGGGAGATATAGTGCCTGTTGATGACCGCGATTCTTCTTGAAGATGACGACTTCTGTCACTGACTTTGTCTTCATCTCATTTCCAGAGAGAAGCACTGATAAGTAATATGTTTGCGCGCAATGGATAAAAGATCTATTATAGATTAAAACAATGCAAAACAAAAGCAATGGAACCTCGGCATTGATTTAGCATGCTAACTCACGATGGCCGAATGAACCTCGGTTTTCCTACAGGGACATTAGCTAAGGAGATCCCTTTGCCAGGAACTGTTGATACCGTGGAAGAGACTTCTCTAAGATCCTTAGAAACTGAACTCCTACAAAAGCTATCTCGGAGCTGAAGTTAAATGACTTTTTCCGGCAGTTAAATGGAACTCGTACTGGTATACGAAATGAGTAGAATACGTGTCCATTCAAGCGCCTATGTAGGTACATGGCATATTTAGCAATGTGGTACTCCATATTATGGCAGTTTTATCAGCCTTGATTCTTCCTGATATTACTACTCGTCTTTGGTGGTAATCTTTTTAGCGTTACTTTAACGTACTTTATGTTCTTTGTGTAGTCGTTCGTGCTACATTTCTGAATTTCTTACTTCTTCCAAATACTTCATACCTTGTGCGTTCACGAAACTACCTGCAAAGAACTACTTGTTGGTCTTCTGTAGAAAACCTTATTGATGTGACTATATGATAGAAAAAGCGCTTTGTCGAGGCAGGTAGATAAAGGAACAAAGGATAAAGCTCTGGGCGTTGAACAATTCCTGAGAGATGCGCCATGCATTCGACTTCACTAAGTATCGTTGGAGGTGATTGAATGCATATCTGGCCTTTACAATGACTCGCGGTAGCCTACCGATGTAACGAGCCAGTGCTGCTGTCCTTCCACACAGGTCTGGTACTAATTCGCCGACCCAGTAATGGAGGGTTTGCTAGGCCATGGGCGCTGGGGTCGATTCCACATGTGCGTCGCAGTGGCGCCTCCAACCAATGCGCCACACGCGCCACCAAGGTGGTAGATACAGGTAACAAATTGGCAATGCGGTAATTATTGGCTGTGCAGGACCGCTCACTGTATAGAGGCTTTTTCGTCACTAACCTGTTACGCTCCTGTTATATCACTGAGATGCTTCAAACTTTATCAGCTCGTTAGATCTAAACTAATAAGGTGCTTTATATTAAAGGAAATATTAATACATTAATATTATTGGAGAATAGAAAGGTGTATAACCAATTATAAGCAAGCTTTTACGACTTGTACCTAACGCTTTTTAACTTAGGGCCTCTTTCTGTTTTCCTACCGAGTGCTGGTGAACAGATTACATCATAATGAGGCATATAAATGACTCAATAGTTCATTTGAAATCAGACTGTTTTTAAGTTTTCGCATCTCCATAACTGATTAGGAACATTTTTTATGACAATGCACCTGCTTTCGTTAGAGTTTCATGTGTGTTTCCGGCTACTCGTTTCTGTCATATCCCTTTCACAGAAGTTTTTCCTAAGAGCTCTTTTCACTTCTTCTGTGTTCATCGCTTTCCTAATCCATTCTCCATCATATTTTGCTTACGACATTTTCCAGTTTGTCTACATCTAAATACCCTCCCTCATTCATTTTGTCCTTTGCTTTTCCAGGGCGATGGCTTATGTGAATGTGGGTGTAACCGTCTGTGTGCATGTGTGTTTGCCTTCGCTTATTCTTAATTAACGAATTGGCGGCGCCGTAGAGTTCGGATGGTTCTCTCCGTCTCATGCTTGCCAATAAAACTAAGTGCCTTTTCTGGCTGGTGGAGGCAGCTTGTGTGAGATATGCGTTTGTGTGTGGGCTGGATAGTAGCTGGAGGGGAAGGGCCTGGAGGTGAAGAATATGGTAATTTAATAGCTACTAGAGCGGCACCCATACGCACATCCTCACTCAGCTATCTGATAAATAATAAACCATTCTTTGCCACCAGTCAATTTTACGCTTGAACGAATTTGTTGGTAACCGCTGAAGTCGGGAAAACAGCGTTAAGTCGCCAACGGCTGTGTCAATGATTCTCACGTTAGGTAGTTACGGTACCAGGACATAGTAGGCGACGATATATCTTTGTTCTGAATAAAAGTTTACTGAGACAATATTTTTTAGTCTAACTGATTTTTAAAGGTTATGGAGTAGGCTAAGGCTTATCCTTATGCTTTTTTAAGTAACATCATTGTAGAGATGAAAAGAAGTGTTTTTCAATGAAAGTCTGATAAATCTAATAGCATGATTTTTCGAAGCTTTGCAAAACTAATTTATTTCGACTCTTGACATATCTGGATTCTTAGCATGTTTTTTTGCGTCAAGCAAAGAAAAGAATTTTTGCGCCAGAAAACCCTTCAAAAGCCAAAAGTTGGCTTGAAAGAATGGGTAAACACAAAGTGGTATTTTGATCGTTTGAAATTGATATTTTTAGCACAAAATTGTTACTAAGGCACATCGTCATCGCTACCATTGAAGGTCTTTTCTCACATCGAAGTGTATTGTAGAGATTCGGCTTGCGGCCAAATGCTATTGCATGCTTTCGTCTTAAGGCGGCAAGCGCTACAGTAATTTCAGGGTGCCGCGTTCCGTTGTGCGCGACCGACGCTGTGATTGACTTGTGGACTGATCGGGTGATGAGTTAGTCTTACATGGTCTATATGGTCCACACTGTAAACATGCGACTTTCTGTAACCCAATCCATTCAATCCATCCATCAATGAATCGATCAATTTTGCGCAGGTGAGAAAAGAAACGGAAGATGGTTCAGCTGCCTGTCCTTGCAGCAGCAGGACACCACACACATCATACACACACGCACACACAGTGGGTGTTTGATGGTTTTAAACGTGTTTATTTACGCCATTATCTTCCAATCGCTCCAAAAAACGAACATAATCTATCTCATGGCGGATTTTTATCGATTGCTTTCTTGTGCAGGCTTTTCTATAATATTAATTGATTGGCTTGGATTTCTGCTAGTGCCGTTCTGACTGCCTGATTTTCCAAGAATGCATCAGTTCTCCAAGAGTTTCCACTATCATGGTATTTAAAGATATTCTAGAAAAGAAAAAAGTGCGTACGTGTAATGCAGTGATTGGAACTGTCCAGCGACACACAGAGTCGCTGGTTCGATCCTGTTCCCTCGTTTACCAAGCCCTCCATCCCTTTAGAGTTAGCTCCGATTAATTTCCCTTCGAGGTTTAAAAAAACGCGGTACATAGGTAAGCTGTCGCGAATTACCCTTAGACCAATTGTGCATCCAATCAAATTCTACATGGCTACGAATTGAGTTAAACGTAAGGCGCATTATTAAGAGATTGAACACATCGAACGCTTTATCCTTTTATCCTCAAAGATAATTCAGTCCAGTGTCATCCGTGACTGCTTTTGGAATGTTTTGCTGCTTTTTTAGATTACAAACTGGAGTTAGCAAAAGGGAAAACGACTTGTGATGCACAGTCACGTAAGGAAACTGCGTTGAACGCTTGATCTTCCACATTTTAATCCACCGCCACAACACTATTTATTTATTTTCGGCTATTTTCGGCAGATTTCCACTTCTTTCAGTTCGCTCCTATAACTGAATTTCTCTTTAGTTAAAGAGGAAAGTCGTTCGATAACATTTGTCAGAACAGAAATCAAAAGAGTAACTGTATGGAAAAAAAACCTTTCAATAGTATTTTCGTCATCAGTGAAAAGCCTAAAAGCCATAATCAGACAGAAAAAAAGCGCGAGTTGTTTAGCAGTTCCGGGTTCCTGTACCCTTCCATTATGATCAACTTATATTCGAAGTGCTGATGACACGGCTCGGCTAAAGACTAGCTAAAATTTCTTCTTCGTT